ATCCAAGATGGCCGATCGCTAACATCCCGGGATTGCAGCTCTCAGGGAAGGCGCGGAGAACTAGAGGACGCCACACTTTCAGACAAATTCTGGTCGCTCACGGAGCAGGAGATCCCCCAGTGGAGGAAACACACGGGTGGCCAGCGCGACTCTCATGGCCGGTGCAGCAGTTCCGCAGGCACCTTGGCGCGGTAGCTCTTGGAGCAAAGTAAACAGGTTCGGAGGACCGGCCCGGGTCCCCAGCAGGACACCAGAGCCGGGCAGCGGCTGTGACGGCACCTCAGCGCGGGAGCGCTCCGCGCAGAGTAAACAGGACCGGTTTCCCTTCTGACCGAGGTTTGGAGCCCCAGGAATGCAGAGTCGCCTACTACCGACACAATAAGGAAGCCCGACAGGAGAACCCTGGGCAGAAATGCACCATCAGTTTTAACGCCGCTGCTCTGGCCCTGGGAACTAACAACCTGGACGTCCACTCAAGAGACCTAATCTGAAAGGTGGTAATTTCAAAGAGACAGGAGGATAAATTTACAATGACGGGAAGAAACCAGCGTAAAAAAGCTGAGAATACTCAAAATCAGAACGCCTCTCCCTCTAAAGATGATCACAGTTCCACATCAACAATGGAACAAGGCTTGATGGAGAACGAGCGCATCCCAATGACAGAATCACTCTTCAAGGAATGGATAATAAGAAACTTCGGTGAGTTAAAAGACCATGTTGTAGCCCAACGTAAAGAAACTAGGAACTTTGAAAAAAGGTTTGATGAAATCCTATTGAGAATAGACAACTTAGAGCGGAGTATGAGTGAATTAATGGAACTAAAGAATACAATACAGGAACTCCGAGAAGTATGGACAGGTTTAAACACTCGAATTGTTCAAGCAGAAGAAGGGATATCAGAGGTCAAAGTCCAACTTAATGAAATAAAACGCGAAGAAAAGATTAGAGAAAAAAGGATAAAAAGGAATGAGCGAAGTCTCCAAGAAATGTGGGACTATGTGAAAAGACCAAATTTACGTCTGATAGGTGTACCTGAATGCAACGGAGAGAATGAATCCAAGCTGGAAAATACCCTTCAGGATATTATTCAGGAAAATTTTCCTAAACTAGCAAAGCAGGTCAAAATTCAACCCCAGGTAATACAGAGAACACCACAAAGATATTCCTCAAGAAGAGCAACCCCAAGGAACATAATCGTTAGATTCACCAGGGTTGAAACGAAGGAGAAAATACTAAGGGCAGCCAGAGAGAAAGGTCATGTTACCCACAAAGGCAAGCTTATCAGACTTACAGCAGATCTCTCAGCAGAAACTCTACAAGCCAGAAGAGAGTGGGGGCCAATATTCAACATTCTCAAAGAATAGAACCTTCAGCCCAGAATTTCATATCCAGCCAAACTAAGCTTCACAACTGAAGGAAAAATAAAATCTTTTATGAACAAGCAAGAACTCGGAGATTTTATTACCACCAGGCCTGCTTTACAAGAGCTTCTGAAAGAAGCATTACACACAGAAAGAAACAACCAGTATTAGCCTTTCTAAAAATACACCAAAAAGTAAAGAGCACCAACATAAAGAAGAATTTACACCAACGAATGGATAAAACAGCCAGTCAACATCAAATGGCAGTAACCCTAAATTTAAATTGACTAAATCCCCCAATCAAAAGACACAGCCAAAACCCAATGGCATTTTACATCCAGACCAGTTTCACATGCAAGGATACACAAAGACTCAAAACAAAGGGATGGAGAAATATTTACCAACCAAATGGAGAGCAAAAATAAATAATAAATAAATAAAAAGCAGGAGTTGCAATTCTCGTATCGGAGAAAATAGATTTTAAAGCAACAAAGATATAGTGGTAAAAGGATCAATGCAACAACAAGAGCTAACGATCCTAACACCCAGATACGAGACTTAGATTCAATGAGACAGAAAATTAATAAGGATATCAAGGACTCGAACTCAGATCTGGAACAAGTAAACTTAATAAATATTCATAGAGCTCTCCACTTCAAATACACAAAATATACATTCTTGTCAATACCACATCACACCTACCCATAAGTTTAAATGAAACATTGATTGGCCATTATTAATACTCAATTTTTTTCAAAATAAAGCAATATTTCCATTTATTCTCCCTCTTTCTCTTCCTCTTTCTTCCTCTCCTTTACTTATTTTTTTTTTTTCTTTCCTTCTCTCAAAAAAAAAGAAATCAACTTGTAAACCTCTAGATCCAGGTCGGCAATGTCTCTCTCATTGCTTGATTTCCTTCCTTCCCTTCCCTCCCTCCCTCCCTCCCCGCTTCCTCCCTTCCTTCCTTCCTTCATCCCTTCCTTCCTCCCTACCGTCCTTCTTCCCTCCCTCCCCGCCTCCTCCCTTCCTTCCTTCCTTCATCCCTTCCTTCCTCCCTACCGTCCTTCTTCCCTCCCTTCCTGCCTTCCTCCCCCCGTCAAAAAAAAAAAAAACCATGGCAATTGTGTAACGAGTTTATTTTTGTTATTTTTAATGAATTGATACATATTTTAAATTTTTCTCAGGTTCATTTTAATATGGCAAGTATTGGTAGATATAACCCACTTCAACAAAAGCTGTTTGGGGTTCTTCAATGTATTTTAAGAATGTGAAACGTTCTGTTCTAAGGCCAAAAGACTCACACCATTTTAACATATTTGAGTACCCAGAACCTGGTACATAAAAAACTCATCTGGCAAATATTCACGAAGTGCCAACTCTATGCCTGGTGCTGTGCTAGGCATTGGGGATTCAGAATTGAGAAGAATTGTTTCTTTTGAGGACTCACAGACCAGTGGAGGTGCCAAACCATGTAAGAACAGTTATACCATGGGACTAGAATGAGAGTGAGAGCCTGCACCAAGAACACGCACCTATTAGGTGAGGCGACGGGAAGAGAAGTGGCCAGGGAAGACTTCCCAGGAAAGCTGACACTTGATCTGAGTCTTAAAGGCCACCAGGAATCAGCCAAGGGGAAGGGCATTTTAGGGAGAGGGAACAGAACACAAACTGTGGAAGCTTTGAGAAAAGTATGGCTATTTCCAGCTCCTGCTGCAGCTCATTATGAATGAAGTATGCGGTACAAGTCTGAATACAGGGGGTGAGGTTGGGCATGAAAGGACATGAGGCCAGAGAGGCAGGCAGGAGCCAAAACAATGGGCCTTCTATACCATATTAAGAAATGCGGGTTGTTTTTTTTTTTTTTTCTTTCTCAAAACAGGCAGGGTGCCCGCATGCCTGTAATCCCAGCTACTCAGGAGGCCGAGTCGGGAGGATCACTTTAGCCCAGAAGTTCAAAAGCAGCCTGGGCAATTAGCAAGCTCTTGTCTCAAAAAAGGTCGGGGAGGGGGGACAGGGATTAGGGAGGAGTTTTGGAGGGTTTTAGATAATATTCGTATTAACTTTTAAAAGACATTTGGCAACAATGCGTGGAACAGTCAAATGAGTGAATGAGTTGAGGAACCAGAAGTAAGACTACAAAAGACTTAAGAGTGGAGAAAAGGAGCAGCCAGAGGCCAGCCCAGACTGACCCGAAGAGAACCTCATCGGTAGGAAGCAGCCTCTCCAGGATTAGGTGGAAGTGAGACGCGAAGGGCAGGGGAGCCCCAGTGGTCCAGCATAGACTGCTGTTGGATGAGGAGGGGTCTTCCACGGAGTTAGGGAAACACTACGAGGTCAGGCCAGGGTTGCTCTTGGTGTGGCGCGCAGGCAGCTAAATAGATCTGAATGCGTTTCCACGCCTCCTCCCCACGGCCCTGGCCCGCAGCCCCGGGTTCCCACGGTCACCAGTCCGCTGCAAAATCCAGGCCTCCCGCCCCTCCGCGACTGGAGGGTGAGGACGAGGCTAGCAGCTCCCTCTCCGCTTCCTCCGCTGGTTCTCTCCCCTTCCCCCTACTCCGGGGCGGCTCTCCACTTCCTCTGCCCCAACCCCACCCCAGGGAAAAATGAAAACACCTTCACGCCCCGCGCCTCAGACGCCCCGACCCGACGACCAGGCTCGGTCGCTGATTTGGCGGCCTTGGTCTGAGAGGACACCTCGCCCCGGGCCCCTGACACCCCGCAGCTCAGCGACTCTACCCCTCGTCCCCCGCCTTCCCCGCCCCAGCTCGGCTCCGCCTCCCCACGGGGAAACATCCCAAAAAAGGGCAGAAAAGAAATTTCAGCGTAAAGTTGGCCCACTGGGAAAGAGAGGAGCGTCTGCGGGGAGCAGGGGCGGAGAGAGAGGGCGCGCGGAGGGGAGAGGGGCCAGGAGGCGGGGGCAGGGAACAGGGGCTCGGGAAACGTCTGGGTGGGAGTGGGGGCGGGAAGCGCCCGGTAACCAGCCCGGCCGCAGCTGCGTGGAAAATATGCGGGGCACGTGGGGGGCGGGGCGGGGAGCTGGGTCGCGAGCCGCCGGGCGCTCGCAGGAAGGGCCTGGCTCCAGGGCCTGGGAGGGGAGGCGAGGGAATGAGAGGTCAGGCCGATCCTGGAGACAGCAAGCCGGGTCACACTCCGCACCGCCACCGGGGCTCTGGGCTCGCCTCCTGCCTCAGTTTCCCCAAGTCCCCGATGAGACTGCTATTACCACCACGTCGATAACAAAACCTAGTGAGACTCAGGGTAAACTGAGGCACTCAAACTGCAGAGGAGCTCTGCCTCCCAAGAGACATTTAATCCGGGGGGATTTGCAGGAAACTTCTAAATTAAGGGTAGCGGCTGCTGAAGCTGAGGGGGGGCACGCCGGTCCCTGTGCCCGGGCAGCTGCCGTGAGCTCACGCCCCGAAATAGCCCCAGGGGCCCCAGCCGCAGCTGCCACTGGATCCGACTGTCAATCAGAGGAAGCCCGGAGCCCCCAGCCCAAGGGTCCCCTCCCCTCCGTAGCGTCGGGGTTTTTCCAGCCGACCGTCGGCTCCTTTTCCCTCCGACGGCTGGCGGGGTAGAGGGGAATTGGGGCGGGACCCCAAGGGAGGCGGTCCCTAGGGGGTGGGCGCAGGGGGCAGCCGCGCCCCCCGGCCGGGCCTTGCTTCTGCCCCTACAAGGTTTGGGCCGAGGTGGGGGAGGGTCCTGATCGTCGGCTCCGCCCGGTCCCTCCCCGCCTTTTAGGCGCCCGCGCGGCCCGGACGTCCCAGTCCTGCTCCGGCCTCCTTGCCTGCCACCCGTGCACCTAGTCGGCTCAGCCAGCCCAGTCCGTCCAGTCCTCACTGCCTGCCGGCCGGCCCACCCCCCACCGCAGCCATGGACGCCATCAAGAAGAAGATGCAGATGCTGAAGCTGGACAAGGAGAACGCCATCGACCGCGCCGAGCAGGCCGAAGCCGACAAGAAGCAAGCTGAGGATCGCTGCAAGCAGGTGGGGGCCGGGCCCAGTGCAGCCTGCTTTCCCCGCCCCTGCCAAAGGCAGGGGTGGGTCGCTGCCATGGGTCCCCCAGCCTCAGGCCTGCCTGCCAGGGCTCTCTCCCACCCAGTGTGGGGGCTGGGCCTTCACAATACCCTCAGGGCCTTCATCAGAGCCCCCGTATCTCCCCTACCAGTCTAGGGGAGCCCCACGCCCCTGGTTCCCACTTCTGCCCTTGCAGAGTATGTTGGTCCTGCTCCTTGGGTCTTGAAGTTTTCTCTGTGCCCCCACCAGGTCCCACCAGCACCCTTGACTGGACTGCCCCCCTCTGTTATTCCTCTTCCATCCCAGTAGCCTCCAAATCTCTCTTGGTAGTTCCTCTACACACCCCATCTCCATTCTGGGCCTGGGCCTCCTCCCAGGCTTAGCTGACCGAGCCCCCTCTGTCCCAGCTGGAGGAGGAGCAGCAGGCCCTCCAGAAGAAGCTGAAGGGGACAGAGGATGAAGTGGAAAAGTATTCTGAATCCGTGAAGGAGGCCCAGGAGAAACTGGAGCAGGCCGAGAAGAAGGCCACCGATGTGAGTGTGGACTTGGGGGACAATGGGAGGAGTTAGGACACTGGGGAGGGCCCCCCTGGACATGGAAATAAGGGGATAAGGAGACTTAGCTATCCCCAGCACCAGGACAGAAATGATTTTATCTCAGTAACCAGGGCCAGGGTAAGCTTACACAAATAATCCAAGGCAGTGGATAAATCAAAACCACCTACCACTTCTCCCAGAGGACTTCGTCCTGTAATTCTGTTTGGTTCCAGCTTTTAGAATGTACAGTGACCAAGCAGTGAGTCATTGTGGGGGTGGAAGGCATAAAAATTTACCATCTACCTCACTTAATCCTCCAGCTGAAATTGGAGAGGAGACTGCAGCAGTTTGGGGGTGGGGGGGTGTGGGTGTGAGGTACTAGCAGGCAGGAGGAGGGAAAGGGATCCAGAGATGAGGCCCCACTTGAGTTACAACCCTAAGGGGCCATTAGAAATTCCCTGGCCTTGACCTCTGGCTTCGGCAGCCCTGCTGTGCCCTGAGGCCCCAGCTCAGGTTCTGAAGCTCCTCATTTATCCTCATTAAGCTGTCAACCTGGAGACCACGCCAGGCCACAGGGCAGAGGGACAGGGCCACAAATGCCAAAGCAGCTACCTTGGCAGGCCCTGTTTACCCTGAGATTTCTCTGTCCACCCCACAATCCCAACCAGACTTCACTTCCTGCCATTCCCAACCCCCTACCTTAAGATAGGAGAATGGCCATATGATTTTGGACATGGTACTTTCCCCATTCTCTGCCTCAGTTTCCCCATCTGCCTTCCACCCAGGATTGTTTTAAGATGAACCTGTGGTTGGATTAGCATAAAGCATGGTCTGAACATCAGAGATGACATTGCTGTTTGTGTTAACTGCTCTTGTTCCCAGCCCCCCACGGTTGGGCTTCTGTGACCTCCAGCCTCCAGTTTTGGTTCTCCACTAGTCCTGGCACTTGGGAGGGAGCTGACCCGCAGCTGCTAGCACAGACAACCCTGGGCATCTGACACTCTATAAATAACCAAGGCCCAGTGCAGCTGGAGGCAGGACTAGAAACCCAAGGAGCTGATGGGGGCTGGAGGCGGGGCAGGGGGACAGGGACAGAACTGGGGAGGCAGAGCAGCAGTGCCAGGAGCAGATAGGAAAGACTGCCCAAGCTTATTGTGTGACCTTGAACACAGCACTCAACTTAACATGGTGCCTCAGTTTCTCTCTTCACTCTTGCTTCCCATTTGTCTAATGGGGACAGTAGTGCCTGTCCTGTGGTTAGAGAGGAAACTCCATAACTGGGAAGAGCTTGAGGAACAAGAAATGGCACATATTAGTCCCATCATGAGGACCCCAGGACTTCCCAAACCTTTCAGAGTTGTCACCCCACCGTCATGAAGAGTTTTTCTTTTACAGTTTCACTGCTCTCTAGGGTAGTCCTCCAATGTCCCCCAGAGTGATTCTTCCCAACCCCCAATGCTGTCCCCAGAATCCTTCCACACTGAGTCATCCGGCCCTGTGCCCATGATGGGCCCTTGTCACTCCAGGTGGCCAAGCTCCAGGTGCTGAAGGCACCTGGAGGATAAGCTACCATCTACTCTCTATATATGGTGCTATTTCTCCTGCCCTACAGTCCTGTCAAGGATCTGCTTCCTATGCTCTCGGTCACAGTTGGTGCCCCCAGCTCCTCCCTCTACCTCCTTCCTCTACACAGGTCATCTCTCCTCTCTGCTCTGAAATCTCAGAGTCTCTGTGTCCTTGTTTTTGATGAGGAAAGAGGAGATAACCTGATCGGGTGCTGTGGCTCATGCCTGCAATCCCAGCACTTTGGGAGGCCAAGGCAGACAGATCACAAGGTCGGGAGTTTGAGACCAGCCTGGCCAATATGGTGAAACCCCATCTCTACTAAAAATACAAAAACTAGCTGGGCGTGGTGGTGGGCGCCTATAGTCCCAGCTACTTGGGAGTCTGAGGCAGAAGAATCACTTGAGCCTGGGAGGCAGAGGTTGCAGTGATCTTAGATTGTGCCACTGCACTCCAGCCTGGATGACAAAGCAGAACCATCTCAAAAAATAAAAATATAAAAAAAAAAGAGGATAACCTAATATTTATGGAGTGCAGACCCTGTGCAGGCAGTGTGCTCAGTGCTTTCTGCATGTTATTTTACAATTTCCCAAACTTTGCTTATCATCAGAATCAGTCAGGGGCTTTAAAAAACAGAAGATTCCCAAGTCGCCACCCTACACATCTCAATTCAGTGGATCTAGCATGGAGTAAGAGAACTTGTTTCATTTTATGAGCCTCACCAAGGGTTCTGTTGGTTAATTGAGTATTAAAAGCACTGCATTACCTCAGAAGAGCCTTAAGAAGGAGGAAGTGTTATTGTTAACTCCAACTTGTGAGGGAGGAAACTGAGGCTTAGAGAGGCTAAATAAGTTGCCCAAGGTTACACAAGTGTTGAGTGGCTGAGCCATGGCTCAAAGACAAGCCTGACTCACAGCTGATGCTCTTAACACCACACTGCACTGCTTCCCTCATTTTCCTTTGTTGGTGCTCGTCTTGCTGTGCCCTTTATCTCAGTGTTTGACCAGTTTTTGTGGATCTTTTCCAAAACCCCCATGGTTTTGCCTCCTATTGCAAGCTCAGGGACTGAGCAGACATCCCTCACACTGCGCCTGCATTGCCCCCAGCTCTGTGCTGGCCTTGGCAGGGAGACCCTTACTACAACCATGGGTGTCCTTCATAGGCCTGCCTCTTGGGATTTTTGCTGGGAGTCTGCCTCGCAGCTGATGACAGACGACATCACTGGGCTTGGTCTTTTTTTTTTTTTGAGATGGGATCTCGCTATATTGCCCAGCCTGTCCTCCTAGGGTCAAGGTGAACTCCCATCTTAGCCTCCTGAGTAGCTGGGACTATAGGCATGCACCACGGTGCCCGGCATCACTGAGCTTGATTCTGTGATGGGCTGGTCTTAGCAGCAGTGAAGTCTGGTTGGCCTGGTTCTTCCCCATCCCTGGGCCAGGCTTTGCTGTGAAGGAATCAGAGCTGCATCGGACCTGGCCCCAGCACTTGGAGTGCTCTCACGGGGAACAGGAGAACTTGTGTGCAGGTGACCTTTAGGAGACTAACCGTGCACGGTGCAGGAGAGGCCCTGCCTCTGGGGAGCGGAGCTCGTCAAGCGAGAAATACATGTACTTTTTCGTTTTTTTTGAGACGGAGTTTTGTTCTTTTTGCCCAGGCTGGAGTGCAATGGCATGATCTCAGCTCACTGCAACTTCCGCCTCCTAGGTACAAATGATTCTTGTGCCTCAGCCTCCCAAGTAGCTGGGATTACAGGCGCACACCACCATTCCTGGCTATCTTTGTATTTTTAGTAGAGACAGGTCAAACTCCTGACCTCAGGTGATCCACTCACCTCGGCCTCCCAAAGTGCTGGGATTACAGGCATGAGCCACTGTGCCCGGCCTGAATGCACATTTTTTACTGGAGCACAGTCTGGGCAGAAGATGATTGGTTGAGGAAAAATTACAGAGAATGTATAGAAACCAGGAAGTCTCAGTTCTTTCTGAGAAGAATCTTGACATCCTCTGGAGCCTCTCTGATCCTCATCCAAAGCAGACAAGGCCTTTTTGACCCCTGATCTCTGACCCACAGGCTGAGGCAGATGTGGCCTCCCTGAACCGCCGCATTCAGCTGGTAGAGGAGGAGCTGGACCGGGCCCAGGAGCGCCTGGCTACAGCCCTGCAGAAGCTGGAGGAGGCTGAGAAGGCAGCTGATGAGAGCGAGAGGTGGTCAGGGGCCCCTGGGGGAGGATGGTCTGGGAGGGAGGAGGGACCCTGTCTCTGCTGATCCTGACCCCACGCTCACCCTCTCCGTGCCTCCCAGAGGAATGAAGGTCATCGAAAACCGGGCCATGAAGGATGAGGAGAAGATGGAGCTGCAGGAGATGCAGCTGAAAGAGGCCAAGCACATCGCTGAGGATTCAGACCGCAAATACGAGGAGGTGACAGCCTCGCCCCTCTGCCTGCTCACTGCCTAGCCCACAACATACCCAGTCCTTCTCTGCTGATCTACCCTCTCTTTCTCACTCCCCGCAGGTGGCCAGAAAGCTGGTGATCCTGGAAGGAGAGCTGGAGCGCTCAGAAGAGAGAGCTGAGGTGGCCGAGAGGTAAAGATACCCGGGGGGTGGCATGTGAGCCCCTTGGCACTGGGGCCCTCCATATAATGGGGAGGCAGTGTCCTAGGCTTGGGGCCATAGGGACAGCCCCTGTTTTCTGACCCCTGCCCGCTGCCCCTAGCCGAGCCAGACAGCTGGAGGAGGAACTTCGAACCATGGACCAGGCCCTCAAGTCCCTGATGGCCTCAGAGGAGGAGGTAGCAACCCCTCTGAACCTTTCTGGGCAATGGCGCCTTCTCTCAGCTCACCTTCCCTCCATCTCAGCACCACAGGCTGCTCTCTCTCAGCTGCTGGGGATTGGGAAGGGCCTGGGGCTTCTGAGCCCTGCCTGCTGTCACTCTCACAACTTTGCTCTTCTCTTCTCTCCTCTACCCGTCCCCCACTGTGCCATCTCCACTGTCTGGCTTCACTGTGCCCTCACACCCCGCTCCCCCTGCCACACACCCCCTGCAGTAAATGTGGGGACCTAGAGGAGGAGCTGAAAATTGTTACCAACAACTTGAAATCCCTGGAGGCCCAGGCGGACAAGGTAGAGGGGAGCAGAGGGGCAGTAAGGATGGGGTCCCGCAGGGGAGGGAGGTGAGGGGCCCAAGGCAGGGAGGGGCTGGTGTTCAATGGAGGCAAGACGGCCAGGAGCCTATGGGGTGCAATGGAGAAATGAAGGATTTGTGGTGACACTGTACTGATGGTGTGTGTATGTCCCCAAAAGTATTCCACCAAAGAAGATAAATATGAAGAGGAAATCAAACTGCTGGAGGAGAAGCTGAAAGAGGTGAGAGTCCTCTTCCAGTTCCCAGTGTCCCCTCAAGCCCCCCTAATCCTTGCCAGAGACTGCCTGTGGTAGGACACTTGAGGGAAGGGATGGGCAAGAAGCTTGACTTGGGCCGTGGTCTGTGGGAGGGCCTAATTCTTTCCCATTTCTCCCATCCTGCCTTTACCCTCCAGGCTGAGACCCGAGCAGAGTTTGCTGAAAGGTCTGTGGCAAAGTTGGAGAAAACCATCGATGATCTAGAAGGTAAAAGGAATACTCTCTCATATCCCTGAGCCTTTATAAGTAGGTCCACACCTGCCGTGATTATCAGTCTGTCCCTTACCTTCTCATCCCATTTTATTTGCCATCAATAAACTAGGGTTGAACCACCTAGGACTCTACCAACTCCGCAACTCTGTGGCCCATGACTACAATTCAAGTAATTGTAGCTGTCCACAGGGCAACAACTCCAGTGCTTCTTAAATTTCGGCATGCATGAGAATCACTGGGAGAGTTTTATAAAAACAGATTCCTAGGCTCTGCCCCAAGTGATTGCTGACTTTCAGCTGGAGGATTTGCATTTCTAGCCAGCTCTCTGGTGCTGCCCATGCTGCTGGTCCCCAGGCCACACTCTGAGTAGCTCCCATATGGACGATTCATCCCTGAGTGTAATGCAGTAGAGTTCTAGCACAGAGACTGCCTTGTTAACTAGAGAGCTTTTGATTGAACATGTAGGTCTGCATGACAACACTGATAGAAAATACTATTTTAAGCTAGATTGGACAAAAACCAACATGCAGGTATCTGTGAGTCTGTGACTATTTCTATTGTTGATGGTGTTGTGGCTGAAGTTGCCTTTCCTTTTTATTCTGTGATAACCCTTTCACTTTCCCACTTCTCTCGCTTTCAGCCTTCTCAGGCAAGCTCCAATTTTACCTCCAGCTTTAGGAGGTTTGCCCTTTCTGGCTCCAGCACGCTCCCTCTCCCTGCTAAGCAGGCACTCCTGCTTGTCCAGAGCACTGTGCCCACAGCTCCCTGGGGAAGCAGGAGCTCCTGTGCGTAGAGCCAATGTGGGGTACAGAGAAAGAAAGAAGAGAGATGGGGTAGAGAGAGGGAGAAGGAGTTCCTGACAGCCGTCCAGACTGTTCCCTGGCCTGCTGCTCTCACTCTTTGTGCAACTCTGATACTGTTTTTCTTTCCATTGCCCTCTCTCCTTCCTTTCCTCTTTCCCTCCACTCCCTCTCCCACACTCCCACCTGGTCCCCTCACTGGACCCCCCCCAGACGAAGTCTATGCCCAGAAGATGAAGTACAAGGCCATTAGCGAGGAGCTGGACAACGCACTCAATGACATCACCTCCCTCTGAGCCCCACGCCAGCGTGGCCACCTCAGCCCTCTTCTCTCCTCTCCTTTCCATTCTCTCTGTGGGGAAGGGAGCAGGCAGGAGGAGCAGAAATTGCCAACATTGCACAGCCAGGCTGGGAGCAGCCTAGGGAGAATCTCCATCATGCCCACCACCCACTCTGGCACTGGCTTCATCCTTTACCTGTCCCCCTCCACCCCGCTTCGCTGCTTAATAAACTCTGAACTTGGTCTCCATGCTGTTTTCCTGCCCTCCAGAGAGCACCTCTAACACCACCACGGAGCACTGGTTCACTCCTGAGACCCTGGCTCTTACAGACACCCCCACCCACTGCACTGAGCCTACCCACCAAACAACATGGCCCACTCTGAAACCCCTCTGCACAAGCCCTCCCAGGCTGTCACTCTCTGACTCACTGCTGCATGCAGGCACATGTGACCCCGTCAAACACCATGACCCCCTCTGGTGCCAATCACTGACCTCAGAGCACTTAGCTGAAGTCAAATAGAGTGACTGGAAAGGAAATGGGGTGGTGAGGTGCAGGGCAGGGGCAAGAAGGTGGCAAAAGGGCTGGAATGGAGCTTGGAAACATGTTGGATGTCAGCAACATGGGGCTTTCACTGCATCAGCAGGTCTGTTTTCTACCTCAAGTCTGTCTGGCCCTCCTTTCCTGGCTCAGTCTTTGTCTTACCTTCTGTCTCCAACTTTCTTAAACCTTCTAAAGAAGAGGATAAAGTAGTTGATGACTTAGGCCTCCCTACCCACCTCCATGACTACAAAGCCTTGAGGCATCCACGTCCATCCTGTTCCCCTCATTCTGGTCAATCCATCCATTTGCCCCTGCCATGGAGCCTTGGGGTCCCCGAATGTGTGTGTCTTCCTGTGTCTCCTGACCCACTCCATGTCTATATGTTACCTTCCCTGCCCCTGCCTCCCCACATCTCCCCCTTGTGTCTCCTTCCTGCCTCACCTGCTGCTTCCCCTCACAGAGACCTTGGCCAGTGCCAAGGAGGAGAACGTCGAGATTCACCAGACCTTGGACCAGACCCTGCTGGAACTCAACAATCTGTGAGGGCTGGCCCCGCCCCCAGCCAGGCTATGGTTGCTGCCCCAACCCAATAAAACTGATGTTACCAGCTTCTCAAGGCCCATTAAGCCTTTCTTTGGTGTTGGCAATGGAGTTTGAAGGACCCCTGAATGAGCAGGGCCTGGATCCTTGCTCTGCAGTGGGACCTCCCTTTCAGGGAAAACTGTGGGATGCAGGGGCCTAGGCTCATTGAGAAGGGGCTGTGAACAGGCCATGTGAAGCAGGAAGTCTGATAGGGACAGGGGACATCATGGCCCTTGTTCCCTACAGGCAGAGGAGCTGCCATCTACAGCACTGCCCTGTTCCAGCAGGCAGCTGGGCCAGACGGCACATCCTGAAGCAAAAACTGCAAGAAGTGACACATCTTCCTTGAGCACGGTGAAAACCTAAAAGCCTAAGTGTGATGTTAAGCCTAGGGCTACTCTCTGCCCTACCCTTCAACACACACTGCACACACACGGCCATCCCAGCAGGATCAATCATTTCTGTCCTCTTCCTGATAACATCTGTGGTAGGCAGAATAATTCCCCTTCTCCAGAGATGTCCATGTTCTAATCCTATGCAATATTGTTACCTTACATGGGAAGAAACTTTGTGATTAAGCTAAGATTTTTAGATGGAGTGATTATCCTTGGTTATCTACATAGGCCAAGTGTAATCCCCAGGGTTCTTGGGGGTCAAGGAGGTCAAAGGCAGTAGTAGGAGTTGTGACAATGGAAGCAAGAGATTGGAGTGATGCGTAGGAGGGACCAAGAACCAAGGAATGCAGGTGGTTCCTAGAATCTGAAAAAGGCATGGAAACATTCTATTTTCAGAGCATCCAGCAGGAACAAGCCCTACTGAGGTCTGACTGCTGACCTCCAAACTATAAGAGAATAAATGCATTACCACCAAGTTCCTGCTAATAACAGTAACAGTAGAAAATTCAAATACCATCCTTCTGGTTTGGGGAACAAAGGTGACTAACACATATTTTATTATAAATATTTATTTTTAAAAATTACTTGGTGATTAAAAAGGGAGAGGCCCAATGAGCAGACGGAACAGTTGCTGGCTCCCCATCTGATGCCTCTGGCTGGCTTCTCTGCATTCTCCAAGATCAGCCTCTAGGCTCCAGTCTCCACTACCTCTGCTGAGCGATAGCTAACACCCCCTTTGGCCACCCTTCTGTGTGTACACAACAACAGGGAAGGCTAATCAGAAAACCGGCCCAGGAGGAGCTCATTTGCATGCACTTTGCATGAAGCGACTGCACAGGGTTGGGGAAGGTTGTGCCTGAGGAAAGGGTGGGTGTACTACCTGTGCTGCCTTCTCATCTGCACAAGGAAGGCGACGCTGGTGACAGCAAAAAGGAGGCCAAAAACCAGGGCTAGGATGTCACCTGGGATGGGGAAGGAAGAGGGAGCTGCAGAGTTCCTCAACGCCTGCCTCAGTGCATCCCCCGCCCCTGCCCCAAGTTCTCAGGCAGTCCCCAGTGCCTCAGTCTCTAGAAGAGGCCAGCCAAGGGATGGGGGTGGATACATGAGAAGGGGAAAGTTTAGCAACATTTTTCCTTCCGAAAAGCCGAGTAAAAGGGTTGTTTGGGGCCGGTCACAGTGGTGCATGCCTACAGTCTCAGTGCTTTGAGAGGCCAAGATGAAAGGATTGCCTGAGCCTAGGAGTTCAAGGCTGCAGTGAGCTATGATCATGCCACAACACCAGCCTAGGCAACAGAGTGAGACCCTATCTCTAAAAAAGGCGGGGGGTTGTTTGGGAGAGGGATGCTAGGAGATTTCTCAAGCTTCATTCTAATCAACTTGGCCCTGGGGACAATGGGGGAATCCCCACCAGGATCTGCCTCTCTAATATTGGAGATGGGGTCGGTTCTGCAGAAAAGGAGAGGGAGCAGAGGCAGTATTGAGCAGCCCTAGGGCTGAATGGTGCTGAGGAGTCTCCTGGCATCAGGAGCAAGAAGAGGGGCACAGACTCACCAGCAGCCAGGCAAGAGTTCAGTTGGACTGGAAAGAGAAAGGAGACATGAGAGGCGGACAGTGACCACCAATGACAGACACTGGCACACACATGGGAGGATGAGGGACCCCTGGCTGGAGGATACCAGACAAAGCTGCACCTGGCTCAGCAGCCCAAGGACTGCTCTCCAATCCAGCAGAGAAGGAGGCCTCAATTACTCGCCCATTCAAAGGTTGCGTCACTCGGAAGTTCATCTGTAGCCGAGAGTCGCCAGGTCCCCACAGGGTGTCAGAGAGGATGTGGAGCTAGGGAGGTCAGTAGACAGTGTGGGTGAGTTCATGGCATGACAGGAAACAAGGGTACCAGACCAGCTCACTGCCAGCACCTCAGGGCTCCACCCTCAATCTCCTATATCCCCCATCGGCCCCTTGATTTCTTTTATGAATAAATTAATGTATCCTAAAGATGGTTGCAGTGGTGGGATCATAGCTCACTGCAGCCTCAAACTATTCGACGCGTGATATTCCCACCTCAGTCTCCTGAGTATCTGGGACTATAGGCTCACACCACCATACCCAGCTATTTTTTTTTTCTTTTGGTAGAGATGGGGTCATATTATGTTGCCCAGGCTTGTCTTGAACTCCTGGGCTCAAGCGATTCTCCCACCTCAGCCTCCCAGCATGCTGGGATTATAGGTATGAGCCACAGAACCCAGTCTTGATTTCTTCTCGTCTTTCTCATCTCATCTTACATCCTTTTTTCCCCCACATCCACTGTGTTCATACATACCCCAGGCCTACCTGCTTAGCACTCAGCCTCACTGTCTGGTTAAACACAGTCCAGATGACACCCTGGGCACAGGGTGGTGTAGTCAGAGACCCCTCATATCGGAAGTAGCGGCTGAGGTCAGAGGGCAGGAGTGCAGATACGTCCAGTCCTGGGACCTGAGTCTCTGAGCCTGTGAAGAGGATCTATGTTGGTGTCTCACCTACATTGCCCCATTTTAAAGCTTCAGGGTATAGGGATACAGTTTCAGCTCCCAGAAGCCAAAGAAACTCAACTCTCTAAGACCACTTCTTCACTAAGTGCAGGCCCTTCGCATAAGACGTAACTCAAAAAAAGTACAGGGCTTTGGGGCAACTGGAAGAGTTCTCAGGGAGGGAGAGAAGGGGGAATAAAGGAAGGAGGGAAGGGAGGAAGGAAGAGAAGGAAAGAAGAAAGACCATCAGAGTTTACACTCTTAACTCTGTGTACCATCATAAAGTCCTGGGCCACAGGTTTAAGTCCAGAGTGAATTAAAAAGAAAAAAGATCTGAATGACTTACAAATAAATATGAATATTGATAACGATATAAAACGGACACAAGAAATGCAAAGGCAGAGTTCTATCTAGTCTAGCAAAAACCTAAAAGGTCTAGTAGAGTAAGTGAAGTTTAAAATGACCCGAGTGACTGAGAAGTGAAAGATTTCCAAAAGTATTTACAAAGTTAAAATATTTGATGCTTATTAAAGATAAATAGTTATCAGAAAAAGTTTCAATCTCAAGACTTGACCTTGACAATTCCAAACACCATTTTTGGTCTTACTTGGTTTTTTGTCTAATTTTGATTTTTGCTAGGTTTTCAATCTGTAGGAAGCCGTTTGCAGGTAACTGTGTCTGTCAGCTTCATGGTTATTATCAAGATGAGAGCTGGCTCACACTTCAACCCCTCCTGCACTGGAGGGAGCCCATCTCCAGCCTCAGACCTGAAGCTCCCAAGGGCAATTCTTTATGAACTAGGGCACAGAGAGTAGTGGCCAGACCAACAAACTGACCTTCCTCAGCGATTTCTTTCAAATGAGACAGCAACTGCTCATAGGCACTGTTTTCTTCTGGGCCCTCCTGGGGGATGACATTGTAAGACAGATGAATGCATGTATCCAGGGCCATGGCTGGAGGCTGGAAGTTGAGGGGGGTTCCTATAGTCCTCTCTCCCATTCCTCAGCTCTGAGAATGCTGAGGGAACATGAAATTGTAATGGTTTTCTTATGTATTATTACTCAAACTCTATGTACTCAAATCAAGAGTTTGCACAACAAGAGTACATAGAGTTTGGTGGACTGGTTTTCTTTCTTTCTTTCTTTCTTTTTTTTTGAGACTGAGTCTACTCTGTCGGCCCAGGCTGGAGTACAGTGACGTGATCTCAGCTCACTGCAACCTCCACCTCCCGAGTTCAAGCGATTCTCCTGCCTCAGCCTCCTGAATAGCTGGGATTACAGGCACGCGCCACCATGCCCAGCTAATTTTTTGTATTTTTAGTAGAGACGGGGTTTCACCATGTTGACCAGGATGGTCTCGATCTCTTGACCTTGTGATCCACCCGCCTCGGCCTCCCAGAGTGCTGGGATTACAGGCGTGAGCCATCACGCCCAGTGTATTTTTTTTTTTTTAATAGAGATGGGGTTCCACTGTGTTGGCCAGGCTGGTCTCGAACTCCTGACTTTTTGATCTGCACCTCAGCCTCCCAAAGTGCTGGGATTACAAGCATGACAAGCACGAGCCACCACACCCGGCTGGTGGACTAGTTTTCAGTGACAAGCTGGAGAGGGAGGGAGAGAGGCTATTTTACTAGGATACTAGGTTCTCAGTGACCTTGGCCTTTCTAACGTTTGAAGTGTCACTGTTGCCTCCACACATGCTCCCCACAGGAAACCATATATACACCTTTGTATTCATGTCACCTCTGTATTCACCTCCATGATTCTGTGGCTTTTCAGGTGAGGTCCTGACATGCTACTTCTTTTATTATTCTTTTGCTTATGAGCCTAACGTTATGAACATTATGAAACTAACACTGTGAACATACTAACATGCTATTTCAGAGGCATTTCTCTGAACTTTATGCTGTGTGACTGGCGTTAAAGAATCAGTGAGCGTGGCCCAGCATGGTGGCTCATGCTTGTAATCCCAGCATTTTGGAAGGCTAAGGTGGGCAGATCAATTGAGGCCAGGAGTTTGAGACCAGCCTGACCAACATGGTGAAACCCCATCTCTACTAAAAATACAAAAAAATTAGCAGGGCATGGTGGCACACACCTGTAATTCCAGCTACTCAGAAGGCTCAGGCAGGAGAATCACTTGAACGTGGGAGGCAGAAGTTGCAGTGAGACAAGATCACACCACTGCACTCCAGCCTGGGCAACAGAGTGAGATTCCATCTCAAAAAATAATAAATGAGTGAGTGAACCTCGCAGGCATCTCACCATCCCTTCCCCTACTAGCCTCCTCTAATCATAATGTATGTAGCCTTGATTATTTGGAATGCAAAGAAGTCACTAAACACTGCATTACACAAAGGGGACATGATGGGTCACTGGAGTATTAGAGAAATTACCCTTCCTGATGTCTAATACAGTGCAGGTGCCATTCCCTAAATAGGCCATATTCTGTCTTTGCACAATCTGTTTCCTCTGCAATGAACATTTCCTTTTCCTTCCCATTAGTAAAGCCTTTAAGTGTCACCTCCTCTGTGGCCATCATTTTTACTATGTCCTTCCCATGTGTCTGTCATGTCAGCCTCCCCCACTGGCTGTGGGCTCCTTAGAGGCAAGGACCTACAGCTTCAGAATCCTTGTTGTGGGCTGGTGCCTGGTTCACAGTGGGTGTTGAATGAATGAACAGTGAGTGAATGAGGATGTCAGCCAAGGGGCCACGGTGAGCCTGCTGGGATGGGGTCTCTGGGGCCACGATACAGAGCCTGGGAGGGAGCATGGGATGCGGAAGCGGCGAGTAGGGGATGTCCAGGGTCTGTTACCTGCAGAAAGGCGGCCAACACGGCCAGGCCTCCGGGGCGCCCCAATGCCTTGTCAACTTTGGCAAAGGCAGTGCTGAGGTGAACCACGTGGATCTGGAGAGGACACAAGGGTAGGGGTAGGAGACGGCCATAACTCTGGCCCCGCCCCGCCCCGCCCCGTTGCCCCTTCTCCGTCAGCTCCGTGCTCACCTCGGCAGGGAAACGGTGGCCGTCCACAGTGTGCTCAGAGCCCGGACGACCCGCAGCTCCCCAGTGCAGATGCAGCTGTAGGGCCCGGTACTCCTGCCCGGGACCCAGAGCCATCTCCAGCCCGGGAGGCAGGGTCAACTCCACTGCGTGGGGAGAGGCAAGTGAGCCGTCCCTGCCTGGGAGGACCAGCCCAATCTAGCCACGACGGTTCCGTTCCATGCTGCCCGCCCCACCCCCAAGGCTCGGCAGGGAGACCTCTCACCGCTGTGGCCATTGTTGCGCAGGCGCAGTTCTGGGAGCGGCGGGAGCTCGAAGCCCAGGAGTTCCAGGGGACGCAGGGCGGGGCAGAAGGCGGCGAGCTGGGGGCGGATATTCACCGGGGACTGGAAACGGCTCCCACATGCTGGGGACACCTGGGGCCAGGGCGGGTCGCCTAGGGTGGGAGAATCTGGTGAGGAAGTCTGACATCTAGGTTAGGAACTTAGGGAGGCCGGGTAGAAAAGGTGAGGGAGTGGCACGGAGGGCGGCGGATGAGATGCCCAGAACCAGTATTCGGGGACGGCCGTGGGGCATATCCACAGAGCTGGGTTCCCGGATTGGGTCTGTGCAGAGGGTGGGTGTCTCACCTCCATAGCGCCAATGACTCTGGTCATCCCCTGTATAAATGAAAAGGATAAACAGGCCCAGCTTAGAGCCCAATTCCTTCCCGACGGCCAAAACCGTGTCACAAACTCAGATGCATAATGAGTAACAAATGCCTTAAGCCGGCCAGGTGTAAAGCACAGGAGACCGCACCCAAACTTAACACAGCAGCTGAGTGGGCCAAACAGCAATCCTACCAGTTTGCAATCATTGTCTTAGGGTCTGTAAAGGTGAGTGGGCGCTTCAGGCCGGGCACTGTGGCTCACACCTGTAATCCCAGCAGTTTGAGAGGCCAGAGCGGGCGGATCACCTGAGGTCAGAAGTTAGAGACCAGCCAGACCAACCTGGCGAAACCCCGTCTCTAGGAAAAATACAAAAGTTGGCCAGGTGTGTGGTGGTGGGGGCCTGTAATCCCAGCTACTCAGGAGGCTGAGGCAGGAGAATCGCTTGAACTCGGGAGGCAGAGATTGCAGTGAGCCGAGATCACCCCATTGCACTCCAGCCTGGACAACAAAAGTGAAACTTCATCTCAAAAAAAAAAAAAAAAGTGAGTGGGCGCTTCAGTCCTAAGTCCCAAACGAGTGAGTACACCATCTTTCCGTTCTCCCTTCTTTCTCCTCCCCACTCATCCCTCTGCCTTGTCTGGTCTCCTATCCCTTTCCCAAAATTCCTGGCTTGAGAGTCAAGACGCCATGTTTCTCTACCTGCTGTGTCCTTCTTCCTAGGTCTCAATTTCCTCACAGTAGACTGAAGATAAGATGACCTCTACAAGCTCTTCTTGCTTGTCCTCTGATGCCCGCTTCACCTCCCAATCCTTTTCTCTCCCCCTCAAACTCTCTGGCTCTCTCTCTCCATCTATTTTGTCTCTGTCTGCACATTTTTCTCTCATCTGCATATCTCCTCCCTTTCTCTTCTTCAGCCTCCCCCTTCTCTCACCTTATCCAACTCACTTCTCTCCTTCTGCGCCCCTTTTTATTTTCTCTCCCCATCCGCCCCTTTCTATTTTGGAGGGTGGGGATGGGGATATTGGTATGGGACCTCTGGAAGGGCTTCTGTGGGAGTACATGCTCCCCTCCTTCCCTGAGTGACCAGAGCCTAGGCTGGGGTATGGGACAGGAAGCATGAACCTCCTGGAACCTGGATTTGGAGACTGATGACCACTTACCTCCTTTGTCCCTGTGGGCATTATTCTGGGGTTCTTGAGGATCTCCAGGAGCCTCAACAGTAGATAGATCCTCTGACTTCAGGGAGCCCTCTCCTTCTAGTTTATGCTTAACTTCAGGTAGATCCTCTCCTCTGGGTAGATCTCCTGTTCCAGGTGGACCCTCCTCTCTGGGTAGCTTCTCTTCACTGGGCAGATCCTCCTCTTCCAGTGGGTCATCTTCCTTAGATGAGCCTCTTCCCAGGGGGGCATCCTCCTGTATCTGGGGCAGCCTCTGGGAATGGGCAGGCACCAGGAGCACCAGTGACAGCAGCAGTTGTACAGTGAGGCCTGGAGCAGGGGCTGGGATCAACAGAGGGGGCCAGAGGGTGGGGCACAGAGGAGCCATGAGGCTGACTGTGGGGTGTTCCAGCACACGGTGTGTACGGGCTGTACGTGCATTGGAAACAAGAGCTGGGTTGGGGAGGAGCAAGCCTGGAGGGGAGCAGGCTGACTCACAGAGCGCCCTTTTGCAGAGATGGAGCCAAAGTCTCATAGGTCTGTCTGGCCCTGTGCCCCCTCCTCCATACCAAAGCCAGGATGGAGGTGGAGTGAGAGGCAGGTGTGTGCATAAGCAGAAGGTTATCAGGGGCATGGACTCAGTTTGGAACCCAAGGCACCACCTGGCACTATGCAGTCTTTCCCTGGCACCACCCAGCTCCTTGCCAGCCAGCCTCAGCTAACCCTGGCCTGCTTCCCAGCTCCAGGCACGGAAGGGGAAAGGCAGGGGAGCTGGGGCCCCCACGTCCTCTGGCTGAGAGGGAAAGTAGCTTATGTATACATCCCTGACTCCACCAGAAAGCAGGTAAAGGGGTAGGGCATGCTACTAGGGGAGCCGAGGGTGAGTTAGGTAATGGGTATGTAGGAGACAAATTTGAGCCTGAATGAAAAGCCAGTGTATATGTCAGAGGTGCTCTGATAGGTTTAACCTAAATTTATTTTTCATCACATTACTCTCCTGCTCAAAAGTCTTCATTGGCTCCCCACTGCCTACCACAATATGCACATTTTGTACTTCTGACTTCCAACTCCCTTCAAAACCTTGCCCAAGGACCTTTCCATGTTGTCTCCTACTATTCTCTCTCATACTCTAGCCAAATTAAACTATTCATTTTTTTCTCCAAAGCTTTTACCACCTTTGTTAATCAGTTCTTACTCCCTGAAATGCTATTCGATATTGCATTCAATAAATATTTATTTAGTACCATAGGTACAGCACTGGGCTGTGGATTAGGGAAATGGAAATGAATAAGACACAGTCTCTTTGGGAGGCTGAGGTGGGTGGATCACCTGAGGTCAGGAGTTAGAGACCAGCCTAGGCAACATGGCCAAATCCCCTGTCTCTACTAAAATTACAAAAAATTAGCCAGGTGTAATGGCATGTGCCTGTAGTCCCAGCTACTCAGGAGGCTGAAGTGGGATGATCACTTGAGCCCAGGAGATTGAGGCTGCAGTGAGCTGAAATTGTGCCATTGCACTCTGGCCTGGGTGACAAGCAAGACCCTGTCTCAAAAAAGAAGGAAAGAAAAAAAAGTCCCTGCCCTGAGGAGCTTGCAGTCTAGTGAGTGAGGGCAAACCATGTCCATATCATAATATAATATTGAGGAAAGAGAGATTAATTCTGCTTTAGAAGATAATATAGAAGTAGGCAAATTTGATCATGTCCTTGAAGAAATATCAGTTCAATTGGTAAAAACAACAGGGAGAATGATATTCTGGGCAAAGGGGAGGCATAAACTACTATGAGCAGTAGAGTAACAGAATCCAATTCTCATACTAGGTCATGTCGAGGGCTAGTATGGAGCACGGAATGCAGGGGAAGACTGGGTGCAATAAGATGGGGTAGAAGAGTGTGAGGACCCCAAGAATGGGCTTAGGGCTCCCAGTTGTTGTTGTTTTTGAGACAGAGTCTCACTCTGTTGCCCAGGCTGGAGTGCTGGCACGATCTTGGCTCACTGCAATCTCCACCTCCCAGGTTCAAGCAATTCTCCTGCCTCAGCCTCCTGAGTATCTGGGATTACAGGCACCTGCCACCATGCCCAGATAATTTTTTTTCATAGATACAGGGTTTTGCCATGTTGACCAGGCTGGTCTTGAACTCCTGACCTCAGGTAATCTGCCCACCTTGGCCTCCCAAAGTGTTGGAATTACAGGCTGATTTTTTTTCCTAATTATTTAATTTTTAAATTCATTTTAGAGATGGGATCTCATTATGTTGCCCAGGCTGGAGGGCCGTGACTACTTACAGGTGAGATCCTGCTGCCGATCAGCACTGCACTGAAGTTTTGACCTGCTCCAGTTTCCACCTGGGTTAGTTCAACCATCCTTAGGCAACCTGATTGATGCAGAACTTAGTGCAGATACTTAGTGCAGTGCTATACTACACTACAGCCCAGAACTCCTGGGATCAAGTACTCCTCCTGCCTCAGCCTCCCAAGTAGCTGGGACTGCAGGCATGCGCCATCATACCTGACTACTTTGCCCTTTTATCAAACAATTTATGAAGCCTCTTCCAATTCTTCAGGTGCTGGATTATAGGCCCTACAGATGCAGCATTTGAATACAGAACAGCTCTACTGTTTTGTAGCTCACATTCTAGTAAGGCTCCATTGGCTTCAACAAACCACAAGAGAATAAGGCCGTTTCAGGTCCATATCTAGGGCTAATATTCAGTAGGCACACACCAATATGGTTGTGTTAGTTATTTTTAAGATATTGAAATATTTCTAATTCTGTTGGCATATAGCCATGGCCCCTAGCTCCAGGGTATCCCTGCTAACCTAGCTCTTCTTTAGGGACCCTCCAGACCTCCTGATCCCTTATCTAAAGGGGCAATGCCTGGCATAACAGGGACCTTAGGACCCCACTTGAGTGCCTCAGCACTTGAGTGCCAGAGTCAGGAAAATGTGGACTCTGATCCTGAATCATGCAGGGAGTATGTCAGACCTTCAACTCTAATGGGTCAGTGCTTGTGCACATGCTGCTGTGTTAAAAATAGTTTTATTGTCCTCCCTGTCTAATCCTTTCTATTTTTCGAGACTCAGATGAAAGGCCATCTCCTTCAGGAAACTCCTTAACCAACCCTCTACCATTAGTCTGGAAAAGATCTCTGGCATCTTTGACCCAACTCAGTTCTTTGCCTTCCCTCAATAATAACCTTGCCCACCATCAAACTCATATTAGGGTGATTTATTACATTTTATCTGCTCTAATGGCCTTCAGCTCCATAAGGGCAGGGTCCAGTACTGGACCGAGTCAGTCTTTTATTCAACAGCCATTATTGAGCATTTTCTCTTTGTAGATCACCTTGCCAGGTGCTTGAGAAATACCAAATTGACTAAGATATATCCTCTGCCCTCAGGGAGCTCATTGTCAATGACCTGTGTATGTCACACCACAACTATCCTGTAAACATGACATCACTTTTTGTTTGTTTGTTTTTGTTTTTTTGAGACGGAGTTTCGCTCTCGTTACCCAGGCTGGAGTGCAATGGCATGATCTCGGCTCACCGAAACCTCCGCCTCCTGGGTTCAGGCAATTCTCCTGCCTCAGCCTCCTGAGTATCTGGGATTACAGGTACGCACCACCGTGCCCAGCTAATTTTTTGTATTTTAAGTAGAGCCGGGGTTTCACCATGTTGACCAGGATGGTCTCGATCTCTTGACCACGTGATCCACCCACCTCAGCCTCCCAAAGTGCTGGGATTACAGGCGTGAGCCACCGTGCCCGGCGCTTTTTAAATTATTATTATTATTGAGACAAGGTCTTACTCTGCCACCCAGACTGGAGTGCAGTGGCATCATCATAGCTCACTGCAGGCTTGACCTCCTGAGCTCAAGTGATCCTCCTGCATCAGCCTCCTGAGTAGCTAGGACCACAGGCACAAGCCACCACACCTGGCTAATTTTTTTACTTGTTTTGTAGAGATGGTGTCTTGCTATAGTGCCCAAGTTGGTCTTGAACTCTTGACCTCAAGTGATCCTCCCACCTCAGCCTCCCGAAGTGCTGGGATTATAGGCGTGAGTCACCATGCCTGGTCTGACACCACATTTTTGTGACACTCTAAATCATCTGTGTTGTCAGAATGACTGTCATATGGTACATCAAAATATATATGGCTAAATAACAGCTGTCCTACAAATGGTCATCTTCAGAAAGAGTCAGCCTTAGATTCTAGGGTACCATTTCTGGAGCCAAATTCAGAGCTGTCCATGGCAGTGAGGTCTAGGTACACTCTGGATGGCCAGCTGATTGTCTTGGTCAGCTCTGTCTTTAGCTTGGATCTTGCCTGACCCTGACACATGGAAGTATATGGTCATATCTGTATTGGATGGGCCTATACAAGACCCATCCAATGTGGTAACAACTAATCCAGCTCTCTGTTACAGCTCACTCATTTTCCAAATACTATTCCCTATCGCTCTGCTTTTCTCCTTTTCTCTCTCCGTGTCTCTGGTCTGGGTTGAAAATGTGGACTCTGACCTTTGATCATGCTGGGAGTCTGCCAAATCCTCAAACAGATTTATTTTTTACTGAGTCACCCAGGTTGGGACAGAGTATACCCAGGACTGAATGACCAGGGCACCCCACACCTTGTTCAGGACCTCTCTGTGGTTGGTAAAGGCCAAGTCTTTGTTCATGAGAGTTTGTGTTTTCAAACACTGATGGGTCATGTTACTAAAACATATCTCTGCCTATCACAGTGTGACAGAGGAGGAAGTTATTCGCTGGTGGGGTGGAAGGGAAAATGCTCCCTCTCCCAAGCCATGGCTTGTGGGCAAAGACTGATCAAATTCCTTGTAGAACCTTGAGGCTGACTTGTAGTTCTGGCCGCCTCCCCATCTATGTTCATTTCCGAGGGCTGCTATAACAAACTACCACCAACTGGGTGGCTTAAAACAGCAGAAATGGATTTTCTCACAGTTCTCGAGGCCGGAAGTCTGAAATCAAGGTTTTGGCAGGGCCAGACTATCTCTGAAGGCTCTGGGGGAGAAGCCTTCCTTGCCTCTTCTAGCTTCTGGTGGCTCCAGGAAGTCCTCGACTTGTAGCTGCTTTACTCCATGTCTGGCTCCAACTTCCCATGGCCTTCTCTTGCCCCTGAGACTCCACTGAGTGTCTCTCGTTGAAACACTTGTCACTGGATCTAGGGCCCACCAGCATAATCCAGAATGATCTCATCTCAAGATCCTTAACTAATTATGTCTGCAAAGACCCTTTTCCCAAATAAGGTCACATATACAAGTCTTGGAGATTAGAACATGGACATGTCTTTACAGGGCCACCATTTAGTCCACCATCAGTGCAGTCGAACTGAAGTGGATGCACAGGATGAGAAGGGATGAGTTTGTATTGAAGACTATCATGCTTTTACCCTTATCCTGCTCCATATTCTTTGCAAGGCAGTGTCACCCACTCCCATGGCTCCTATAAATTGATGACACCCAAGTATTCTCAGGCTGGACTATCTTCCCCATGTCAGACCCATAACCATCTGCCTGATAGACAAGACCCAAGACCTCTCCACTTTGATGTCCCACAAGTATTTCAAGTTTAAC